TGTACAGTAGTGTAGTGTGTAGTATACAGTAGTGTAGTGTATACTAGTGTAGTGTATAGTAGTGTAATGTGTAGTGTATAGTAGTGTAGTGTATACTAGTGTAGTATATAGTAGTGTAGTATATAGTAGTGTAGTAGTGTAGTTTGTAGTAGTGTGTAGTAGTGTGTACTAGTGTAGTGTACAGTAGTGTAGTGTGTAGTATACACTAGTGTAGTGTATAGTAGTGTAGTAGTGTAGTTTGTAGTAGTGTGTAGTAGTGTAGTATATAGTAGTGTAGTGTATAGTAGTGTAGTGTGTAGTAGTGTAGTGTGTAGTAGTGTAGTTTGTAGTAGTGTGTAGTAGTGTAGTATACGGTAGTGTAGTGTATAGTAGTGTAGTGTGTAGTATACAGTAGTGTAGTGTATAGTAGTGTAGTGTGTAGTAGTGTAGTGTATAGTAGTGTAGTGTGTAGTAGTGTAGTGTATAGTAGTGTAGTGTGTAGTGTATAGTAGTGTAGTTTGTAGTAGTGTGTAGTAGTGTAGTATACAGTAGTGTAGTGTATAGTAGTATAGTGTGTAGTGTACAGCCGTGTAGTGTATAGTGGTGTAGTAGTGTAGTGTGTAGTAGTGTAGTATACGGTAGTGTAGTGTATAGTAGTGTGTAGTAGTGTAGTTTGTAGTAGTTTGTAATAGTGTGTAGTATACGGTAGTGTAGTGTATAGTAGTGTGTAGTAGTGTAGTTTGTAGTAGTTTGTAATAGTGTGTTGTATACGGTAGTGTAGTGTACAGTAGTGTACGTTGAACTTCTTTCGCCCCGTACGTAGCCGACCGTGCTAATGGGGAGATGCGGTGTGATCGTGTTTGTACATCTCAGTTGACAGTGGCTACGGGGTTGTCTGGGTTCGTCTTAACATTCCGGGGTGTTTAATACTCGGGGGCATGGAGGAGATCGCTTCACTCTGATACGGATGCTCGAATTTTCGCGCCAATTTTTTATTTCATTAACCTGAGGTAAACTCAACAACAAACTAAACCAAACTCAGTTGACAGCGGCTACGGGGTTGTCTGGGTTCGTCTTAACATTCCGGGGCGTCTAATACTCGGGGGCATGAAGGAGATCGCTTCGCTCTCAGATACAGATGCTCGAATTTTCGCGCCAAATTTTTACCTTCATTAACCTGAGGTAAACTCAACAACAAACTAAACCGAACGTCGCTATTAAAGCCTAAAAGGTCTGCAGCAGCACAAAACAACGTCGTAATTGCCGGAAGAGGAGAGGTGGGGGGCATCACTCGATTTATCGTTAAAAAAAAGATGTATAATTACAAACAATTAAATTCACTCACACGCCTGGTGGCCTCACACGTAACGCTGTCCGTCTTTTCCTCCCTCCTTACCTCTTGGTGGACTTGTATATGTATTTCTACTGACCGTGTACCTCGTATTTTTCATTCTATCTATGCCGGTATGTGCAATCCAAAGGTTGAACACGAAATTTAACACTCTTCTGAAATTCGTGGTCCGCCAGGAAGCGTCTAACTGTGTTGTTGGCCTGACTGGTTGTGCTTCACAAAATGTTCTTTTCAGGTTTGTTGAATTCGCGTCTCTCATCTTTTTGTTTTATATTTACCTCCGTGATTTGTTCTTGACACCTTGATGAAGATCGCTCGCGTTGTGATCGAAACGTCGTGATTGTTTTTTTTGTTTCAATATAATTTTATTGTATTTCTACATACGTGACTTTACCGAAAAAAAAAACAATGAGTAATTTTATGCAGTCACGAAAGCTTTAATACTTTATTAACGAAGGTTCGTGTTTAGCTTATCGGGTTTGTAGCAGCTTTGCTAACTAACGCTAAGCGGCGTTCTGGATCGGCTTTGACATTCAGTGGCTCAGACTTTAGCCTGGACCGGTGCTGATGATGATAATGATGATGATCTGATGATGATAATGATGATAATGATGATGATCTGCCAGGCGTTAGCTCGATAATGAATAACACTACGTAGCAATACTCGTCCGAGTCGACGTGGCGAAGAGAATTCAAAGTAAATGAGTTTACTGTACCGCTTATTTTTTTTGGTGTGTGTTGAAGTCTGTTGTCTTTCACACTTTGTCTACGTACGGTGCGAGAGAAGTTCTACATACATACTACACTGTACACTACACTATACACTACACCACTAAGACTAAGTTGAAAACGTTATTTCTTGAGAACTGCGTTTTGTGTCTAGTTGTCGCTCCCCCGCGCCTCTCATTAGCACGTTTTAGCTACGTACGGTGCGAAATAAGTTCTAAGACATTTCGATTTTCGACTCCCTGAATACATTGGCGCAAAGTTCACTCTGAAAGCGAGATAGAGAGACAGAGATCTATAGAGAGAGATATATAGAGACAGAGATCTATAGAGATAGAGACAGAGATAGAGAGAGATAGAGACAGAGAGATAGAGACAGATCTATAGAGATAGAGACAGAGATAGAGAGACAGAGATCTATAGAGACAGAGATCTATAGAGATAGAGACAGATCTATAGAGACAGAGATAGAGAGACAGAGATCTATAGAGATAGAGACAGAGATCTATAGAGATAGAGACAGAGATCTATAGACACAGAGATCTATAGAGATAGAGACAGAGATAGAGACAGAGAGATAGAGACAGAGATCTATAGAGATAGAGACAGAGATAGAGAGACAGAGATCTATAGAGATAGAGACAGAGACAGATCTATAGAGATAGAGACAGAGAGAGAGACAGAGAGATAGAGACAGAGACCTATAGAGATAGAGACAGAGAGATAGAGACAGATCTATAGAGATAGAGACAGAGATAGAGAGACAGAGATCTATAGAGTTAGAGAGACATATCTATAGAGATAGAGACAGAGAGAGAGACAGATAGAGAGAGAGACAGATCTATATAGACTTTTGACTGCCTTTATTCAGGCTTCCACCTGCTATTGCAGTGGAGCCACAGTGCATCGGATCATAGTCCAGGCAGCAACGGTGATGGGCGGTGGCATACATGCCGTCATCTACAGCATCCCGTACAAAGGAAAAAAAAACCCTTCACAAACGATATATAGAGAGACAGAGATAGACAGAGACAGAGAGATAGAGACAGAGATAGACAGAGAGAGACAGAGATCTATAGAGATAGAGACAGAGATAGATAGACAGAGATCTATAGAGATAGAGACAGAGATCTATAGAAATAGAGACATAGATAGAGAGACAGAGATCAAGAGAGAGATAGAGACAGAGACAGAGATATATAGAGATAGAGACAGAGATAGAGAGAGATAGAGAGAGAGACAGAGATCTATAGAGATAGAGACAGAGAGATAGAGAGACAGAGAGAGAGACAGAGAGACAGAGATAGAGACAGAGATAGAGACAGAGATAGAGAGAGAGAGACAGAGATCTATAGAGACAGAGATCTATAGAGATAGAGACAGAGATCTATAGATAGACAGAGATCTATAGAGATAGAGACAGAGATAGAGAGAGACAGAGATCTGTAGAGATAGAGACAGAGAGACAGAGATAGAGACAGAGATAGAGAGAGACAGAGATCTATAGAGATAGAGACAGAGGTAGAGAGAGAGACAGAGATCTATAGAGATAGAGACAGAGAGGTAGAGATAGAGAGACAGAGAGATAGAGAGACAGAGAGAGAGACAGAGATAGAGAGACAGATAGAGACAGAGATCTATAGAGAGAGAGACAGAGATAGAGAGATAGAGACAGAGATAGAGAGACAGAGATAGAGACAAAGAGAGAGACATAGATCTATAGAGATAGAGACAGAGATCTATAAAGACAGAGATCTATAGAGATAGAGACAGAGATCTATAGATAGAGAGACAGAGATCTATAGAGATAGAGACAGAGATAGAGAGAGATAGAGAGAGAGACATAGATCTATAGAGATAGAGACAGAGGGAGAGATACAGATCTATAGAGACAGAGAGAGATATATTAGTGGCCTCTAGTTGCCACAGTCGGTAACATCTCGCACACTGCCTCCTGCAGAGGCGGACTGGCCGATCGGGCGGCGACGTTTCGGGCGATGACCCTTCTTCATGGTTCACAATCGAGACGGTGGGTAATACGATTTGAAGACTGTACTTGTTTACACTATGGGCGGAGGGGTGGGGTGGGTGGTGGACCTGATGAGAATTTTATTTAAAATATTTCCTGATGGAGAGATTAAAAAAAAAATTGGCATTCCGATACGCTTCATGATAATAATCATAAATAATGTGCTGAACAGCATTTTTTTTAAAAAAATCGTGGAATGGCGTGTCGCATAATCCATCTCTCTCTCTCTCTCTCCCTAGCGTGGCCACCAAAGTCGTTTCAATGCCCCAACAGGATCGAGTGGCCACGGGATTTGAAGACGAGCTGAGAACTCAGTAGATCGTTGGTTTCGGATTCCTCAAGTTTCAAGAACTCAATCTCCTTCTGCCCAGGTGCCCGTCGTTACATCTCAGGGCTGTGGGAGGGTGGAGACATTCATGCAGCAGTGGATGGATCATGGCTGACAATGGTGGCGATGTTGATGGGGGTACGCATGTATTTATTTTTTTAAACATTTTTTAACGGATGATAAAGAATGCACGCGTGCAATTTCTCGTCTCTCGCCGTCAGAGATGGTTCTACCACCGCCTACAGAGTGCCTTTGGCCTACTCTTCCACGCGGCATGGAGTAACCCACACCTCGTGCCACGACCGTCTGGGAGTATGGAGGCGCTTCACAAAGTCTCGGGACATTTTGTTTGTTTGTTCAGCTGCCACGCCGGGAGGTCGAACGTTCACGGGCGTGAGTGTGCTCGCCATCACAGACACGGTAACGATGCTGCTGCTGCTGATGATGATGATGCTGATGATGATGAGTAACATTCAGCATAACTTCCCCGATGTCGTCTATTTATAACGCTGACTCAGAGCCGTGCCGATGCACTCCCCAGGTGTGTCTATGGGGTGCGTCACAGGTGAGGTGAGCCGTGGTGGTGATGGTGGTGGTTGTGGTTGTTGTTGGGGGGGGTTGAGGGGCTGAGCCGACTCCACACGGAAGTCTCCGAGTGGACTCACTCAGCCAGCCACACACCCACCCAACCACTCGGCAGCAGCAGCAGCAGCAAGCATTGGGAACAACTACGAGCAGACCGCTTCTGTCAATTAACACTGGAATGTGTCACGTGTCCTGTCAGGCCAGGTGAGTGCTGCTACAGCTGCTGCTGCTACAGCTGCTGCTGCTGCAGCTGCTGCTGCTGCTGCTACAGCTGCTGGTGTTATTGGAAGTGACCCGCAGCACATATCTGAAGGAACGAGATTGGATTTGAAAGCACAAAGGAAGAGGACAGATTGCATCTCCCGATGGCAGGTGAGGTGTTTCAGTGAATGAGTGTGTGAGTGAGTGAGTTTGTGTGTGAGTGAGTGCGGGTGTGAGTGAGTGTAGGTGAGGTAGTAAGTGCGTGTGTGAGTGAGTTTGTGAGTGAGTTTGTCTGTGTATGAGTGAGTGTGAGTGAATGAGTGAGTGTGTGAGTGAGTGTGTGAGTTTGTGAGTGTGTGGGTGAGGTAGTAAGTGCGTGTGTGAATGAGTTTGTGAGTGAGTTTGTCTGTGTATGAGTGAGTGTGAGTGAGTGAGTGTGTGAGTGAGTTTGTGTATGAGTGAGTGTGAGTGAATGAGTGGGTGTGTGAGTGAGTGTGTGAGTGAATGAGTGTGTGAGTGTGTGGGTGAGGTAGTACGTGGATGTGTGAGTGAGTTTGTGAGTGAGTTTGTCTGTGTATGAGTGTGAGTGTGTGAGTGAGTTTGTGAGTTGTCTGTGTATGAGTGAGTGTGAGTGAATAAGTGAGTGTGTGAGTAAGTGTGTGAGTGTGTGAGTGTGTGGGTGAGGTAGTAAGTGCGTGTGTGAGTGAGTTTGTCTGTGTATGAGTGAGTGTGAGTGAGTGTGTGAGTGAGTTTGTGAGTGAGTTTGTCTGTGTATGAGTGAGTGTGAGTGAATGAGTGAGTGTGTGAGTGTGTACGTGCGTGTGTGAGTGAGTTTGTCTGTGTATGAGTGTGAGTGAATGAGTGGGTGTTTGATTGAGTTTGTGTGAGTGTGTGAATGAGTGAGGGTGTGAGTGTGTAAGTGCGTATGTGAGTGAGTTTGTCTGTGTGTGAGTTTGTGTGTGAGTGAATGAGTGAGTGTGTGAGTGAGTGAGTTTGTGAGTGTGAGTGTGTGAATGAGTGAGGGTGTGAGTGTGTAAGTGCGTGTGTGAGTGAGTTTGTGTGTGAGTGAATGAGTGAGTGAGTTTGTGAGTGTGTGAATGAGTGGGTGTGTGAGTGAGTGTGTGAGTTTGTGAGTGTGTGAGTGTGTGAATGAGTGAGGGTGTGAGTGTGTAAGTGCGTGTGTGAGTTTTTCTGTGTGTGAGCGAATGAGTGAGTGTGCGAGTGAGTGAGTTTGTGAGTGTGTAAGTGAGTGTGTAAGTGCGTGTGTGAGTGAGTTTGTCCGTGTGTGAGTGAATGAGTGAGTGTGTGAGTGTGTACGTGTGTGAATGAGTGAGGGTGTGAGTGTGTGTAGGGGAGCGGTGGTGTAGCGGTTAGCGCGCTGCGCTATGAACCCAACGACCCGAGTTCGATTTCCGCTTACGGTCAACACCAGTGGAGATTATTTCAACTTGTCCGGGCCTCCCCTAGGTCGACTCAGCCTCAAATGAGTACCTTGTGTGATGTGTAAGCATCGCCACTGGGGAGACAAAGGCGGCCGGGCGTGGTGTTGGCTACCCACCCCCTCGTGTACCGTGTCGGCCTTCATAGGTGCTCGCTAACAGCACTTGCCCCTGCAGGCTACACGGGGGATCTTTGTCTTTGTGTGAGTGAGTGTGAGAGTGAGTGTGCGAATGAGTGAGTCTGTGCGTATGAGTGAGTTTGTGTGTGAGTGAGTGTGTGAGTGTGTGAGTGAGTAAGTGTGAGTGAGTGACAGTGAATTAATTTGTGTGTGAGTGTGGGTGTGAGTGAGTGTGTGAGTGAGTGAGTGTGTGAGTGAGTGTGTGAGTGAGTGTGTGAGTGAGTGTGGGTGTGAGTGAGTGAGTGTGAGTGAGTGTGAGAGAGTGAGTGTGAGAGAGTGAGTGTGAGTGAGTGTGGGTGTGAGTGAGTGAGTGTGAGAGAGTGAGTGAGTGTGGGTGGGTGTGAGTGAGTGAGTGTGAGTGTGTCTGTGTGAGTGAGTGTGGGTGTGAGTGAGTGTGGGTGTGAGTTAGTGTGAGAGAGTGAGTGTGAGAAAGTGAGTGAGTGAGTGTGAGAGAGTGAGTGTGAGAAAGTGAGTGAGTGAGTGTGAGAGGGTGAGTGTGAGAAAGTGAGTGAGTGAGTGTGTCTGTGTGAGTGTGTGAGTGAGTGTGGGTGTGAGTGAGTGTGGGTGTGAGTCAGTGAGTGTGAGTGTGTCTGTGTGAGTGAGTGTGTGAGTGAGTGTGGGTGTGAGTTAGTGTGAGAGAGTGAGTGTGAGAAAGTGAGTGAGTGAGTGTGAGAGAGTGAGTGAGTGAGTGTGAGAGAGTGAGTGTGAGAAAGTGAGTGAGTGAGTGTGAGTATGTCTGTGTGAGTGAGTGTGAGTTAGTGAGTGTGAGTGAGTGAGTGTGTGAGTGAGTGTGAGAGAGTGAGTGTGAGAGAGTGAGTGTGAGTGAGTGAGTGTGGGAGTGAGTGAGTGTGTCTGTGTGAGTGAGTGTGTCTGTGTGAGTGAGTGTGAGTGAGTGTGGGTGTGAGTGAGTGAGTGAGTGTGAGTGTGTCTGTGTGAGTGTGGGTGTGAGTGAGTGAGTGTGTCTGTGTGAGTGAGTGAGTGTGAGTGAGTGAGTGTGAGTGTGTCTGTGTGAGTGAGTGTGAGAGTGAGTGTGTCTGTGTGAGTGTGGGTGTGAGTGAGTGAGTGTGAGTGTGTCTGTGTGAGTGAATGTGTCTGTGTGAGTGAGTGTGTGAGTGAGTGTGAGTGAGCGAGTGTGAGTGAGTGTGTGAGTGAGTGTGTGAGTGTGTCTGTGTGAGTGAGTGAGTGTGAGTGAGTGTGTGAGTGAGTGTGTGAGTGAGTGTGAGTGAGTGTGTGAGTGAGTGTGTGAGTGTGGGTGTGAGTGAGTGAGTGTGAGTATGTCTGTGTGAGTGAGTGTGTGAGTGAGTGTGAGTGTGTGAGTGAGTGTGTGAGTGAGTGTGGGTGTGAGTGAGTGTGAGTGTGTCTGTGTGAGTGAGTGTGAGTGAGTGCCCACCCTCTTTGTGTTGTTGCAGCTTTCATAGGTGCTACTCGCTGACAGCACTTGCCCCAACAGTATGTTAAGGCTATACGGGGGATCTTTGTCTCTGTGAGTGTGTTTGTGTGACGAGTCACGGACGCTACCGGTGTGGAGGAGGTGGAAAAGTTACATAACTTGTTCTGTACAATGCTTGGTGATATGTTTTTAGTGTGTGTGTGTGAGAGTAAGTGTGTGATTGAGTGAGTGAGTGTGATTGAGTGTGAGAGTGAGTGTGTGAGTGAGTGTGTGAGTGAATGTGTGAGTATGTGAGAGTGTGTGTGAGTGAGTGTGTGAGTGAGTGTGAGAGTGTGTGTGTGAGAGTGAGTGTGTAAGTGTGTGTGAGAGTGAGTGTGTGAGAGTAAGTGTGTGAGTGAGTGGGTGAGAGTGAGTGTGTGATTGAGTGTGAGAGTGAGTGTGAGAGTGAGTGTGTGATTGAGTGTGTGAGAGTGAATGTGTGAGAGTGAATGTGTGAGTGAGTGCGTGATTGAGTGTGAGTGTGTGTGATTGAGTGTGAGAGTGAGTGTGATTGAGTGATTGAGTGTGTGAGTGTGTGATTGAGTGTAAGAGTGTGATTGAGTGTGAGAGTGAGTGTGTGATTGAGTGTGTGAGAGTGAGTGTGTGAGAGTGAGTGTGTGATTGAGTGTGTGAGAGTGTGTGAGAGTGAGTGTGTGATTGAGTGTGATTGAGTGTGTGATTGAGTGTGTGAGAGTGAAAGTGTGATTGAGTGTGTGGGTGAGTGTGTGATTGAGTGTGAGAGTGAGTGTGAGTGTTTGAGTGAGTGTGTGAGAGTGAGTGTGTGATTGAGTGTGATTGATTGTGTGATTGAGTGTGATTGAGTGTGAGAGTGAGTGTGAGAGTGAGTGTGTGAGAGTGAGTGTGAGAGTGAGTGTTTGAGTGAGTGTGTGAGAGTGAGTGTGTGATTGAGTGTGTGATTGAGTGTGTAAGAGTGAATGTGTGAGAGTGAGTGTGTGATTAAGTATGATTGAGTGTGTGATTGAGTGTGTGAGAGTGAATGTGTGAGAGTGTGTGATTGAGTGTGAGAGTGAGTGAGTGTGTTTGAGTGAGAGTGTGAGAGTGTGTGATTGAGTGTGTGATTGAGTGTGTGATTGAGTGTGAGAGTGAGTGTGTGTGAGAGTGAGTGTGTGTGAGTGAGTGTGAGAGTGAGTGTGTGTGAGTGTGTGTGAGTGAGTATGTGTGATTGAGTGTGTGATTGAGTGTGTGAGTGAGTGTGTGAGTGAGTGTGTGATTGAGTGTGTGAGTGAGTGTGTGAGAGTGAGTGTGTGAGAGTGAGTGTGTGAGAGTGAGTGTGTGTGAGTGAATGTGTGAGAGTGAGTGTGTGAGGGTGAGTGTGTGAGTGAGTGTGTGAGTGAGAGTGAGTGTGTGTGTGTGAGAGTGAGTGTGTGTGAGTGAGTGTGTGTGCGCTATGAACCTGGCGACCCGGGTTCGATTCCCGCTCACGGCCAACACCCAGTGACGATTATCTGAACCGGTCCTGGGCCTCCCTAGGTTTACTCAGCCTTAAATGAATACCTGGTGCAGTGTGTAAACATCGCCACTGGGGAGACAAAGGCGGTCGGGCGTGGTGCTGGCCACCCACCCCCTCGTGTACCGTTCCGGCCTTAATAGGTGCTCGCTAACAGCACTTGCCCCTACAGCCTGTTAAGGCTATACGGGGGATCTTTGTGTGAGTGTGTGAGAGAGTGTGAGTGAGTGTGTGAGAGAGTGTGAGTGAGTATGTGAGAGAGTGTGAGTGAGTGTGTGAGAGAGTGATTGTGTGAGTGTGAGAGAGTGTGTGTGAGTGTGTGAGAGAGTGTATGAGAGAGTGATTTTGTGAGTGTGAGAGAGTCTGTGAGAGAGTGTGAGTGATTGTGTGTGAGGAGTGTATGAGTAAGTGTGAGCGTGTGAGTGTGTGAGTATGTAAGTGTGAGTGAGTGTCAGTGTGTGAGTTAGTGTGAGAGTTTTAAAAGTGGTATGAATTTTATCAACCCTGGGCAAGCGAGTGATGATGGGCTGAGTGAACTTCCCTTGACCCCAACTCCCTCCACCCCAACCAGGATTTGAACTCTCTCTCTAACGCTGAGCCACTGGGCTGGTAAAAAAGCGGCGCGTTTGTGGTGCCGCTAAAAATATAAAAACCGC